TATATATTTAAAGATTTTTAATTAATTATTTTTTTTTGGGGGGTGGGGGTGGAGGGGTCTTTTTCTAAGAGTCCAAGCTTTCCATAGATTTGAATTTTAACACCCAAGAAATTAAACTCTGACGTAATTCCGGTTCTTTATGGATAGCACCATTTATTGACTCTGTTTGGAACCAAATGAAGGTCAAAAATATTTTGCACTTCATTTGAGCGCCCATGGTGTGCACCAGCGCAACCAAGTTTTTTATAGAGTGCAAAGAGCGGCACAAATGGCTATTCTCCGGCATCCTGTATAGTTGCACATGTCGCATCTCCGCAGATTTCCATCTCCCCTGTCGACACGGTGTGACCATTATGCTTGGACCTGAGTCCAGTGCCAGATGAGCGTTCTTGTACTTCTGGTTGGGACTGAGGGTTGTTGACGCTTCTGGTGCTGTCACCTCTCCCACAGAAATTCCTCCTTCTTCCGTCTCTGGAGCTTTCATTAAGTAGTGGCTGCGTGTCCACCTATGGTGAATCGCTTTCTGAAGAAATGCCGACCCTGATGAGTGTTTGTGTACGGCCATAACGTGTCGACAGGGGAAATGGAAAGCTGTGGAGAAGCAATATGTGCAAAGTATATACGTGACGCGGAGAATAGTCACTCGCAAGAGCGACGGCCATGGCAGTTCCCGGTGCAGGATAATGTTATAATTCAATTCTAAGGGCCATTCTAAACTCAAATATTTAATTCCGAATATTGAATTTGATAATTCAAAATTGAATAAAGTAATTGAAAATAATGAATACCTTGTAAAAACCAATAAAAAGCAGCGTGGTGAAAGTTCTCTGTGGCTGTTTTTCTCAATAAAAGCCTTTATCTAATTGATTGCGAATCTTCACTAAAGGCAACCGATTGTACCGTATATTCCACTTGTATTTCAACATTTGGTTGTTGTTGGAGGGTTTTTCGTTTGTTAGTTGTTGTTCTTTTTTTTTTCTTTTTAAGACATTTTGCGAAACAATATTCCCCAGGTTATTGACCACAGTGGAAAAAATGCCAGTAATAGGCTTATTGTTATTATAGTTTATAAAGTTGTAAGAAGAGAGGGTATTCGTTCACACGTAATAGTACTCGGAACGAGGATATATTGATTTACTTCAGAATTACTCGACTTATTTGAGCAACTTTTGGAAAGGCAGAAGCAAGGACCAACAAAGAAAAGAAACCGACGTGAAAGAACCTTAAAATACTGCAAATATTTTGTTTTACCTTTAGCGCCGCTGCCATTTGTAGAACAAGGTACTCCTCAAAAAGCCGTCCCTCCTGAAAAGGAAGAGTAAAGGTAGTATGTTTCTTTGGGAAGGTGGGGATCATCATCATCATCATCATCATCATCATCATCATCATCATCATCATCATCATCATCATCATCATCATCATCATCGACCATCATCATCATCATCATCGTTGTCGTCGTCATCATCATCAACACCAGCAGCAGCAGCTTCAACACCAATTAATGTCTCGACTTTTATTCAAGATAGATGGGTATTTTCTCTTACAAAAGCAAGGCAAATGAAAAGTCTTTAAGATTATACCAATAACCCCAAAAGCCCAAAAACTGACGATCGCCTGATTACACCTTGTCGAGACACATATTCGACACATATTAAGACTGACCTTAATCCACTTGGACACGTAGATATCGTCCTTTGACGGGTAGACGCACATTTTTACGTTTGGTTTTGGAGATTTCGGTAATGGGACACAGTCTTTGTAAGGCAGTTCAGAGGTTGGGAAAGATTTGACCACGTTCACACTGGGATGGAGTTCCAACTTGGTTACAATCTGGGGATAAAACAGAATGAACTTGAGTTTTAAGTTCCTTTTAAAGTTATAATGCCATTTATCTAAGAAGAAGGAAGATGAGTGTCGGTTTGGTACCGTACCCGTACGTGTGTGTGTGTGTGTGTGTGTGTGTGTGTGTGTGTGTGTGTGTGTGTGTGTGTGTGAGTGTGTGTGTGTGTACGAGTGTGTGGTTGTATGTGTGAATGTGTGTGTGCCTGTGTGTGCGTGTGTGTGTGTGTTTGTGTGCCTCTGTGTATGTGTGTGTGTGTGTGTGTGTGTGTGTGTGTGTGCGTGTGTGTGTGGCTGTGAGTGTGTGAGTGTGTGTGTGTCTGTGTGTATGTAGGCCTAAGTGCGTGCGAGTGTGAAATGTGAATATGTGCGTGCGTGTATGTTTCTGTTTGTATAGTAAGCCTGTATCTGTCCTTGCATGTGTTTCTGTGTATGCTTCGGGGGGGGTTTATGTTGTTTTTTTGTGGGTTTTTTGCTTTTTTGTAAGTGTTTTTACGGCGCTCGCAACTGCATAAGGTCATATGAGTGCGTGGGACACATAAACTTTTTCAGTTGATAGGAAATTTTGAATTTTGCCCGGGTGGCGGCTGAAGCCTACTCTAATCGATCTAAGACCACCAAGGGATCTTTAACGTGCGCAACTTGCACACGGGCCCTCCGAGATTTTTCGCCTTCGTCCGAGAAGGCTCGGTGTAGATCTTTCCTACCAGAAGATCAGGGGTGTGCTGAAAGACAGCAGTGAAAAGAAGCCAAGGAGTAGCAGTAGAAAGGCTGTAGAAAG